AAGGGGAGGGGAACTATTGTATTCATCTTGAAATGAGTTTTCAAAAACACTATTCCCCAGTCTTTGTAAGGGTATTGTAGGGCTTAAAATTTACATTACGTGTATCCTTCAGACCCGTTTGAACTACTACAGCTCTCCTCTTGAGTTTTTCCTCTGCCCCTTGGAAACGTGGAGGGGACGAGCTCTAGATATATCAGTATTCACTAAGATAGCTGCCTGGGAAGGAAAGGGGACATTATTCAAGCAAAAATGGGGGTCTTGGCAAAGGCCCCAGTTTTAAAAGAGAGAGAGACAGCCAATTAGGTTGAAATGATTTGAAGTCCATCCCTCCACAGTCATTTTTCTGAAGCAAGGTAAACATTTGGGTAGAAGTGGGTACATAGCCATTTTTCAATAAATAAACTAAATTGTCCCTTGGAACTATTACAGTAGGTGGTGCTCTTGTGCCATAGCATAACAGTTTTTAGAAAGGTTTTGAAACTAGGGCCTATTTCCCTATTGATCCCTCTGAGTGACTGCAAGGTACACAATTGGGATAGCATCATCTGGGTGGTTCCGGTGAGAGGTTTTCTGTCTGGAAATGTGGTGAATTCTGGTCTTTACCTTTTCTAGCTTGCCTGAGCGCTGTCTGCTTTCCAAGGGTACCTAAATGAGGGGTTTACTAAACTCTTTTTTAAAATTATAGCTTTATCTGAACAATTATGTGTTACCAGTTTTCTGATACCATTTTTTTTCTATTGAAAATCATCTGTGATCTTCCAAATCAAGCTTCTTTCCAGATAAGTAAGCTATCATTCTTGTTTCCTTTTTCTTTTTCTTTTTCTGAGTAGGTTTTAAAAATAAATGTTTTCATTGATTTTTTTGGGGGGGGAGGGGAGAGAGAGAGAGAGAGAGAGAGAGAGATATGAGTCAGTTGCCTCCTATACACCCCGAATTTGATCGAACCCCCAACTTAGGAATATGCCCTAACCAGGAATTGGACTGGTGACCTCTGTGCATGGACGATGCGCCCAACCAATTGAGCCACACTGGCCAGGGCTCATTCTTGTTTCTTCTTCTTCTTCTTTTTTTTTTTTCAGCTGGTTTGGCTCAATGGATATAGAGCTTCATCCTGTGGACTGAAGGATTCTGGGTTCAATTCAGTTAAAAGCACATGCCTCGATTGGGAGCTGGATCCAGAGTTCATTCTTGTTTATGTTTTCTTTCCTTTAGCTTCAGAGAAGATGCAATATAATGAAATAACATGTGGTAGGGAAATTGTAAGTGATGAAGGATATAGATGAAAAACTAGTTAACTAGCCGCTAGTAGTAACTGTAGCTGACTGTGAATCCTGTTGGTATCAGCTCCTTTCCTCACTTCTTGTACTATATAATGAGTTTCTTGGTCTAAAGTTGGTTGATGGTGAACAAAGGCATCCAGTAAAGTTCATATTTGGTGCTGCTGGGAGAAGCCTGGTGAGAAAGGAAGAGAAATTTAAGTCCAGAGCTGAGTATCCGTTCCAGGGAGGACAAATCTCTTGTTGCCAGAAGTTGCCTGAAACATTTAGGGGTCTGCTTTTTCAGGAGGTTTCTTGGGGTTGTCTCTAATGTGAAGGACAGTTGCTTTACCTTGTATCCACCAGCTGTTAAGGAAGCTACAAAGTGCTTATGGAGCTTCTGTATCAGCCTGGGTGTGAGGATCTGAGCTGCCGGTTGCCTTCTGTCTCCGCAGGCAGCCAGGTCTCAGTGGGCTCAGCTGGCCAGACTGCTGCACCAGAGCCAGCCTCCCCGAGGGCTTTGTGACCCCCGACCAGTGGGTGTACAGGTGCTCTCTGGTAGCTTTTGTGATTTTTAAAAAATAATTAATATTTTTAGTTTGTGTGGCTTTTAAAAATTGATTTATTTATCTGCTTACTTGTTTGTTTAAATTATCTTTCTCAGTATTTAGAATGTACTTTTAATCTAAAACCCATGTATTTCTTGAACATTCTTAGCTTATCTTTAAATACACTTAGTTTTATCTCTTTAAATACTGCTTCTTTTCTTTTCCATCCTCTTCTCTTTCGTTTGCTCTGATGCCTTCCAGATGTTTGTGGAGCTGTCCTTCATGTTTCTTAAGTACTCTTTATATTTTTCTTCCTTATCTTTTGAGTTGCAATCTGTGTGAATTTTGTCGTGTTAGCTTCAAATGTGCTGGTTCTTACTTCAGTTCTGTCCAGTCTAAAGTATCTTGGGTACTGAGATTTTTATTTCAGTGACTATTCTTCATTATATAATTTCCAATTGATTCTTTTTTAAACATCTCGTCTTGTTTTAATTTTGCCTTTTTTGGTTTATAATTTCTTACTCCTTTAAAATTATATAAGTACTAGAGGCCCGGTGCACAAAAATTTGTGCACTGGGGGGGAGGGGTACCTCAGCCCATCCTGTGCCCTCTCGCAGTCTGGGACCCCTCGGGGGATGACCACCTCCTGGCTTAGGCCCGCTCCCTGAGGGATTGGGCCTAAGATGGCAACCAGACATCCCTTTAACAGCCCAGCAGCCCTTGGGGGATGTCCACTTGCCAGCGGGGAGCAGACCTAAACTGCAGTCAGACATCCTTAGTGCTGCTGAAGAGGCAGGGGG